GTATCTTCTTGTATGCTTCCTTGCTGCATCAATTTCACCGGACCAGAGTGAGAGAAATCGCTCATGCTCACAGACATGGATAAAGGTCACTTTTTACCTAACAACAACAGGTGGACATGTCCACCCTCGTCGGCTGCTTGTCTTCGGGTTCCAAATGGTCTTGAGATGGATGGAGAGGGGCGGTGCTCGACATGGGGTAAGAGTGATCCAGACTGCATCCTGATCCAGAGTCGACATAAGCTTTCTGTTGTTTGTTCCGTCTCGCCAGCAGGAATGAGGTGGAAAGGGAGACTCCACTTGACAGAAAATCTCTCATATCAATGAGAGTGAAATGGCCCAATCACTCGAAGCTGCTTAGACGGAACGGCGCAGTTTGGTGCCAAGACCTGCGCAGGCGTTGCTCACATTCTCATGTTCTCATCCACACAGTTCCAACAACACCAACGAGGCCACCTCATCCACTCTATCCCGCCCCCTGCTATCTCGCACTTTGCCCTTCTGGCGAGGATCCCTGTCTACACACCGAAGGACTGTGCTTAATAGCTCGCGGAGAGCGGCTGACAGAAATGCATTCACATTCTAATTCGGACTGCGCCAATGCCCTGGTTCTCCCCCTGACTGCACGCCAGCGCTGCATTTCCTTGGGAAAGCAAGCCCGTATCCCCTCTCATGGTGTCATGACTAACCTAGCTACATGACCGATGCCGCCGAGATGCATATCCGCTGCTGAGAGAGCTACACCGCAAGGATTCTTTGGGTAACTGGCGAACCTTGAGCTGATAAAGCTACGCTCGACAGCCCAACCGTCCTTCATCACATGCTCGATCATGATCAATCCACTGGATCATTCGCCAATTCTGGTCTCCCTAGACTTGGACGCGTTCATGATGTGATGACCCACCATGTTTTTGACTCGACTGTCCCTCTGCCTTAAGGAGACATGCTCGCTGCCCACTTTCGTTGTCTCCTGTTCGCAGTCTCCGGCCCTGGTTTTCTTCTTCTTTTGCTCGTATTCGACTTTCTCATATAGATTGACCCTCAATACTGCTCATCTCAATGGCTACTATCCGTATTGCTGATGAGGTTCATCCTAAAAATGAGCTACAGGGCAAAGAAGGGCGGCTTGCCGACTCGACTTCGATCTACACCCACGACGATGGTATTTACAACATGCGCTCGAGGAGGTCTTCCCATGACTTGAGCCTATATCGGTCAAGGTCACTGCAGCGAGATGAAGACCCCGGATTGCAAAAAGAAAGCGACTTCAAGGAGAAGCAGGTACCGTTCCTCCTGTTTGTCTTTAGAGCAAATCAGCTGATCCGATGATAGGTATTCAGTGGCAAGATGCTTCTCTGGCTCGCCTATCAGTCGATTGGAGTCATCTACGGAGACATTGGTACCAGTCCTCTTTACGTCTACTCGTCGACCTTTACCTCTGCGCCATCGAATGAGGACCTCGTCGGCGTCTTGTCGCTGATCATCTGGTCTCTTATCATGATGGTGACTGTGAAATACATTATCATCATCTTGCATGCAGATAATGAGGGCGAGGGAGGGACGTTCAGCACCTACTCTCTCCTCAGCCGCTATATGAATATCACGAATCGCGATCCAAGAGAAGCTTCCCTGATAAGGATAAGGAGACATGCATCGGGCGATCTCGAAAGCGCTGGACGTGTCATGCGCAAAGGTCTCGAAACAAGTCGGTTGGCACGAGGCATCCTCAAGACCATGGGAGTTTTTGCCGTTTCTATGGTTCTGTCCGACGGCGTCCTCACGCCCGCGCAGTCCGTTCTTGGAGCGGTGCAGGGTGCCCGGGTGGTCAATCCCAACATCTCGAAAGGTGCAATAATCGGAATCACTGACGCCATCCTCGGCCTCCTCTTCCTCGTTCAGCCTTTCGGTATCACCAAGATAACATTTGCTTTCTCCCCCATCGTCATAATATGGCTTGGCTTCAATGCCGTTTTCGGAATTTACAACCTGGTTAATTATGATGCTTCCGTCTTTCGGGCTTTCAATCCTGGCTATGCCTTCGAATTTCTGATCCATCATGGCGAACATGGATGGAGGATGCTGGGCGGGGTTTTGCTGGCCTTTACCGGGGTCGAAGCGCTGTTTGCGGACCTGGGGGCCTTCAGCCGTAGAGCGATTCAGCTCAGTTGGCTATGCTATACGTTTCCATGTCTCCTTCTGGCCTACATCGGACAAGCGGCTTATATCAGTGTCCATCCAGAAGCATATTCGAATGCATTCTTCGAAGCTGCACCTCCGGGCACCATTTACCCGTCCCTTATTATCGCTATTCTTGCCGCAATTGTCGCATCGCAGGCTATTATAACTGCGACATTCCAGGTGAGCAGGTGCACAGATTTCATGAGAGGCGATCCGTGGCTGATGATAGTCAGCTTCTCCATCAAGTCATGAAACTGTCATATTTTCCGCAACTTACAGTGAAACACACGTCAAAGATATTCCACGGCCAGCTCTACATCCCTCTTGCGAATTGGCTTCTCATGGTTGGCACAATCCTTGTGGCCTCAATCTACAATAACACGACCTCTCTCGGAAACGCCTATGGTGTTTGCGTCATGTTCGTCACATTCTTCGACACATGCATGGTCTCGTTGACAGCCATCTTCGTGTGGCGTTTCAGTCCATATCTCGTTTTGCTACCTTGGCTGACGATTGCTTGCATGGACGGCACCTTTCTTTCTTCAGCCCTCACCAAGGTACCGGACGGGGCCTGGTTTACTCTTACACTGGCGTTTGTTTTGGGCGCGGTATTTCTGCTCTGGCGCTTCGGAAAGGAGCAACAGTGGTTTTCTGAGGCAGGGGATCGGTTCCCAACCTCCCATTTCATCAGAATGGGGGCTAATGGTCTACATCTGACCGAAAGATTTCACGGCACAGCCCTGAGCACCATCAACGGCTTTGGCATCTTCTTCGACAAGGGTGGTGAAACTACTCCCATCGTCTTCAGCCAATTCGCCATCAAACTCACCGCAATGCCTGAAGTGTCGGTATTCTTCCATCTCCGCCCGTTGGAGACGCCTTCCATGCCACCGTCAGAGCGACACACAATCTCGAGACTAGCTATCCCGCACTGCTACCGTTTGGTGGTGAGATATGGCTACAATGACGAAGTCATCACTCCCGACCTGGCCTTTGTCATCTATGAGCAGATCCGAGCGTACATCCTTTCCGAGACCAAATCAAAACCGCAACTCAATGGCAATTCTGTGTTAGTGGGTGATGACCTGGCCGTAGAAGATGCCGCGACGACAAGCAGCGAGACGGGCGTGGGCACAGACCCTGACGAAAAGTTTCCGTACCCACAAAAGGTATACCAGCAGAACCGCGACTCGGAAAAGCAGACGGAAGCCCTTGCGCGCTTGGACCGCGCGTTCGCATACAAGGTGATGTACATAATGGGCAAGGAGCAGTTGACCATCAAACACGGCACGAATTACTTGCGGCGGACGATTTTGGCGCTGTTCCTGTGGATCAAGGACAATACGAGGACCAAAATGTCGAACCTGAAGGTGCCGACGGAGAAGCTCATCGAGGTGGGCTTCTTGAAGGAGATGTAGCCACAAGCAGCAGGGATAAAGGTCCGAGAATATGCGAAAAGAGGGAATTCTGGACCACCACACCGCTCCAGAAACCTCCTTTTAAGAGAAGACATTTGTTCCTTGACACGTTCTGGGAGAAATAGGTTGAAAGAGGAAAATTCAAAGGCGAAGAGGACAGTTGGGGGGGGCAAACGGGGTCAAATGAACGGCATATGTCGATTTGGTTGGGGTTTGGTCGGATGGGATGGGATGGAATGGAACGGGAAAGACGATATTCGACCATGGGGATGTCCGCAACCATTTTCATGAAATGTCTCGGTTTCATTTGGGGGGGCGGTGATGAACACGATACCAACGACCCAGCGGACGGAAATATAGATGGAGTCCGAGTACCTAGCTATCTACCTAGCTAGAGTGCTAGAGCTGACGGATCGATGAGAAGATTAGGCAGATTTCTTCGCGATACCGCCAGACAATTCGACTTTGCAGCATTTTGCAGCAATGAGCAATGAGGAAAGACAGTGCGGACGTGTACGTGTACGTGTGTGTCTATGTGTGTCTGGCTGGTCCCGGGGGGCAAATAACCGGATTCAGTCAGGGATCAGGAGTCACGAGTCAGAAGTCAGGGGCTCTTCAGCCTCGCCGCCTCGCCGCCACCGCGTTCGGGATTGATTCCCGTATCTGCTTTGCTTTGATTTGGCTGATCCTCATGTCCTCATCCCTATATGGTCGGTCCCTCGTCCTCCCAATGACACGCTAGAAATTTCAGCTGCTGAAAGACATGATAGACATGATTGACGCCTGACACATGCCGAGCTGCACCTGTGCCTGCCGACGAAGAATCTTCTTGAGACAACGGCGTCTCCGTCCGTCATGAGATCGAACCAAATAGTTGTGTTGTGTTCGCCAGACTCCGCCACCTCACAGTTATACTTGGTCCATCATATAAATCGCAACACATCATGAACAAACCGTGGCCCACCACAACATCCGTAGTCCAAGACGCCAAAAGAATCACAAAATTTGCGCCTTCCTCTGTCACTAGTACAGCCAGCCACTCCTACAGTCATGCCATTTCTGTGATCAAGGTCAACGTGGATCAAGGTTCGATCTCTGCAAGGTAGACCCGCACTGGAAGCAGGCACCAAGTAGGGGAAAACGGCCGTTTCAGGCCTAAGGTGTACTTGCATGATGAAGCCCGTCCTGTGACTTGAAGCGTTAGAAGTCGACAGAACCGTCCAAGACGGAAACAGAAAGATGTACCCACAGACACCAGACAGAGTTGGAGCTCTGACGGCCATCAAGCGTACGGCTAAAGGCGTGGTTGATGGGCAATTTGACATCGTTGTCTTCATTGCGTGTAACCCACGCCAGAAGAAGCTGATGTAGTATCTCTTCCGAATAATAGAGCACCTCTGTCCCTGATCAGACCTCTCCGGGTGTGTATAACTCGAGATTGTCGATAGGTAATGTCAAGGAGATAGCTTGCGCCTCTGCAAGAATGAAGTCTGCATCATGCCGTGGTGAGTCCTGGTTGTTGGCCAGGAGACGATTCATGCCTGGTCGATTCCAAACCGATGGATAAGAACGTGCATCGTGTGGTGTTTCCGGTGTCGCGTATCCACTTGCTCCGGCAATAATGTCTGAACTATCCCGTAATGGAAGGCGATCCAATGATTCTGTTGGTATCAAACTGGATCTCGAGCAGGGGCATACGCATTCGGTGCTCGCAACGATGCGGTCAACATCAAATTGCACGGTGTGAGAGAGCTGTTTAATCACCATCTTTGTACAAGTTAGTTTCGTATGAATCATGGAATATGGAGCAGTGGGAACAACCTTGATGATCCATAAACACCGAACGGCACCATTATCGTAACAACGCATCGTTGCTAGGAGCTTGATGCCCAGCTCTCCCTTCTTCCATGCCTCACTAGGTCGAGATGTGCCATTATGCGTCGCTATCAGGAAGAGGAGGCACATGACTGCTTGGAAAAGCGTGTAGATGACACTCCAAGAAGCCGGAGCCAGCAGACCGCGTTGATGCATCACCTCAGCTCGAGTAATAGTGATGGCTGCAATCTTGATGCATGATAGTGCGTGCTGCGATTGGGTCCTCGTGATGGGCGCACTGTCGGCCATCTGTATGAGGTAATGCAGAAACGGTTGGTAGAGGACGAACTGGCCAAAATAGAATGCCATTTCCAGCTCGAATTTCATGCTGCGGCGTTGTCAGTCAAGTCCAAGACATTGGAGGAACCCGAAATTGGGAAATGAAGCATACATTTCCGACACTTCACGCTTTTCAGGAGTATGAGGCAAGCAAGACAGCGCTCTGGTCCACTTCCGGAATGCATCCTCTGTGCCTCTCATATTGACGGCATCAACGTTGTCAAATACCAGGTCTGTTGTGCGCTTGCCCTTGTGTGTGCCACGACTGAATATGCTTCGAAGCCCCGCGGCTGTCAGGCCCAACAATTCCAAGTGCTTCGCCGAAGCCAGGAGCTTTGCTTGTGTGTCAGAGTCACCATCACGAGCACTGGTCGACCGTTTGGCACAGTCGGCCTTCAACGAGGCCGCGACACCCGGGTCGATGCAATCAGGATTGATGCGAGTCGGTAAGTCTAGAACGATACTGACCAGGGTGTCGAATTGCAGGACTGCGAGCATGATTCTGAGTCTGGCATCTTGTTGAACTTCAGATATCGTGATATCTGCCCCAATATCTTTATGCAAGCCAAGCCTCAAGGCTGAAGTACAAGCAATGCCAAGGTATGTGTATGCAGAAGTCAGACGAGATGTTGTCACCAGAAAGTAGATGAGACATAGAATTGTCTGGATTGATATGAGATCGGCACACTGGGCAACATCAAGCTCTCTGCGAGCGAGAAGGAAATGCCTCGTACTTCGGTCTCAAAGTCAGTCAATGACACAGTACGTGGGAAGGGCAAACATACGCTTCGTTCACAATATCTTCGCAGCCATGTTTCTTGCGAGATCGGACATCAAACAATAGAGCGATTGCAAGGATGCCGTGAAACAGCGGCATGAAATTATGACTGGATGCACCAAATTGAAGGGCAGACTCGCTATATAGACGATGGACCATGTCCCGGAAGTCGGCCTCGTGCACGAACTGGATCAACGGATTACATCTGGTGAAAACGACATCCAGTAGGCCAAGCGTGATAGATAGACTTGGGAGGCTCTGGAACTGCGAAGAATAGTGCGTACCTGCTTCAGCATCCGGTACTGGTGCGTTGAACAAGGCTGTAGTAATGGTCTGAGTTTCGGTGGTCAAGGCAGCACTGTCAGGCATTCTTCGGAATAGTTCTAGAGTCTTGAAGACGAAAGAGTATCCGGAATAAGAGCCATAGAATGTGGTTTGGGTGGGTGAGAGAGGAACGAACCGGCCCGCTCTGCCCATCATGCTGCCTAAGCGAGTTGACCTGGCACTGTCGTCGTCGCCGCTGGAGTCCCCGCCATCTGAGGGCTCTGGGTACGAGTTATCCAAGGTATTGAGAATGGATTCAATATCGGAATGGGCGACGGTCTGATTCTGAGCCTTGAGCCGCACAAGCGACATTCGCGCTGCCCGTAGACATGCTTCCAGCTTTCGAATCCGTTGAGTTGGTGTCTCTCGAGGTCGGGTCCCCGGGTCGTAGGAACAGACTGATGCCGTTAGCGCAGTGATCTCCCCGAGACTGCGATATCAGCGGCGGCCTCTCACCATCCTCAGAAACACTACAGGGGCCACAAGGTAGGGCTCCATCGCATTTGATCTTCCTCAGCCGGCATTCGTCACAGGCACGAGGGGCTCTCCTATGGTAGCCTTTGCGAAAGGATCGGGAAGACTTTCCACTGCTCTGTTGTGAATCACCAGCCATGAAGGTTCAAAATCTGGCATTTTGCCAGTTCGATGACGGGCTGGAGAGGTAGGAAAAAGAGAGTTCCGATCATGCGGACGGGAGGTGGGAGTCGCCACGATAGTGGGTTGTCTAGCTGCAGCGACCTTTAAGCGATTGGGAAGCTCATTAGTCAGGTGGTGCTCACTTTGTCGAAGATGACAGGGGGAGTCCAGCGAGCCAACTGAAGATGTTGTTGAGGCCAATTACAGGGCGAGAGGGTTGGAAGTCCGGAGTAGAATTTCAGCTCACGCAGGATGGAGAATGGGCTGAGATGGTGCCACGAGGTGCCCAATCAAGGCCAAGACGCCAGCCTTGTCTGCCGCCACAGGCTGCAATCTCAGGCTGCTTTTAGCCCACTCACTGATTAATATCGTTGTTGATTGCGGGGGTACGCGCCTTAGGCACCCACGCACCTAACAAACTCGTCACGCCTGTGCTCGCACACGTAGGTAGGTCCTGGATAGACTCACCTTGTGGCCTCTCTGCAAACTCGTCCCTCAGCATGTCACAGCCTCTCGATGATAAATTCGCCATCCACGAAGCCGCCCGAGAAGGCAAGACGCAAGTGGTCGAGTCCCTCCTCAATGCAAACCCCAAACTTGCCTCTCTCCGTGACCAAGATGACCGTCTCCCACTGCATTGGGCCATTGCCTTTGCTCGTCTCGACATTGTCAAACTCCTCACAGCCACCCGCTCCTTTGACCCGGATGCTCAAGACGGGTCAGGCTGGACACCGCTTGCCATGGCCGCTTCTCTGAAAGACAATTCTGGGCTGCCCATCATCGACCTTCTCCTCTCCAAAGATGCCGACCCCAAGATTGCCACGAACACCGGCGTCACACCTTTACATCTGGCCGTGTCGAAGAATAACCTGGACGTTTGCAAAACGCTCCTGAAGCATGGTGCGAGTGCAAGGGTCAAGGACAAGCGGGGTCAATTGCCCCTCCACCGCGCCGCCGCCGTGGGATCCGTTCCTGTCGTGAAACTGCTGCTCGAGAACAAGTCTCCTATCAATGCTACGGACATGGACGGGCTCACGCCACTACACCACGCAATAAGTGAAGGACATGGGGACGTGGCTGTAGAGCTGCTAAAAGCTGGAGCGGAGACAGACAAAGTGGATCATGAGGGCAGATTAGCGATTGACTGCGCGCCTGATAGCAAGGTCAGGGCGCATATTTTGAAAGCAGCAGAGAGGGAAGGGATCGAATTCGCCTGAACCAGGACAGCGTCAGCATTAATGGAGACAGGGCGCTTTTGACAAGATTTGATTAAAGTCTTCAGATCTGGCCTCATTTCATCGTATCCGCCAGCTGTCGATACATCTGCTTGACATCGACAATATCGGCCTTCAGCTCCTCTACCTCCTCACTCTTCTCCCCCAGCAGTTCCAAGGTGGTCTGATGCCTTGCACTGAGACTGGCATGCTCCTTCTCAAGCGCTTCCAACCGTTCCTCGATCTTCCGCTTCGCCTCAACCTCCCGCATCAGACTGACGACTTCCTGCCTTGCTTCGTCGCGTTGAGTGGTGAGACGTGCGAGTTCGTCTTTAGAAGCGGCCTTTTCGCTTTCGAGTCGACGAACGTTGGCCGACATTCGTTCGACCAATTGCACGGAAGGACCTGCGCCAACGGTTGAAGTGGAGATTAGATCGTTCAAACCTCCACGCTGAGAGTGGTGGCTTGTGGTCAGGGGGGTAGGAGGGATATTGGCAAAATACTCGTCTGGATCCATGGACGTCACCCCAGACGGCGTTTCCGCAATGGAGCCGTTGACCAGACCACGGAAGGATGTAGTAGACTGTTGACGAGGCGGAGTGTTCGAGTCGAATGCATTGGGCATGATGGAGGGTCGCCGACTGCTACCTCGCTCATACTGGGTTGGGCTCATGAGATGATTAATGTCGAATGCCAGGCCTGAATTTTTGCGAATCGATGCCGCCGGAGAATCCGTGCGTTGGATATGCAGAGCAGCTGTCCATTTGGACTTCTCCTCGTCGATTCTTCGTTGCAACTCCCTCTCGGAATTTCCTTTCTGCTCTTCAAGGTCTTTCAAAGCATTTGCCAGGTCCGTCTCAAGCTGAGTCATTTTTCGTTGTAACCGGCGTGTTTCAGCGTTCGCATCTGCCAGTGATTTATCCATATCCGCATAGGTACTCTGAGTGTTGGCCAGCTCCCTTTCAGCATTCTTCAACCTCAATGTAGCTTCTCGCAGCTTCTTCCGCAGCTCTGTCTCACTTCTCACAACGTCATCGCGCTCTTTTTCTAGGTTCGTGATACGACCGAGGAGCGAACTCTCGATCCCTTGCCAATTCTGGCTCGCCGTGGTATACTGGGTTTGCAATGCCTCGATTTGTCGAAGGAGTTTAGCTTGTGCGTGACCGTGATCTGCTGAGGAAGCTTCTTCAGCTCGAACACGAAAAGACTCGAGTTTGCTTTCCAGGATGGCTTGTTCGCTCAACATTTCGGTCTCCATAGCGTGAGTCCGCTCTTTTTGTTTCTCTAATTCACCTCGTAAGTCATGGATCTCCTTCTTCAATTTCCCTTCCGATATTTCACGCTCGACTTTTGCAACGGTCAAATCATCTTGCAGCTCGACAATTCTCCGCCTTTCCTTCTCCAATTGCTCGGATTGCACTCTGCTCTCCGCGGCTTCGGCTCGCGAATTGGCTTTGGACAGTTGCGATTTCATTTCCGCAAGGGTGGCATTCAAAGCATCACGCTCTTTCCGCATTGCCTCAACGTCTTTTGCCGCAACAGCATGGGCTGCCAGACTTTGTTCTGCACGCTTGCTTGCAGCTTCAGCCTTCCTGGCGCGGTCCTCCATACTTCTTAGAGCACGTTCAGCTCGGTCTGCGCGTTGCCTCGCAGCTTCTTGTTCTTTTGTAGTGGTCAAGGCTTGAGCTCGAACTTTCTTCAGCATGTTTCGAAGATCCAATTCCGTCTTTGACCATCTGGTGCCTTCTTCTATCAGGACAGCTATTTGCTCATCCTTTTGTAAGAGCTTCTGCTCTAAGCTCCCTGCTTCTGCTGAAGCAGCTCCCTGCTTAGCAGATTCAGCAGCTTTTTGGGCTGATTGGGCGACTTCTTGACCTAGTCTCTCAAGATTCCTTCGGAGCGCATCAATGCGTTCTAGATAGGTGCCCATTTCTTCTTGTATTTCCCTTGTGTCGTCATTGTCAAGTTTTAGTCCATCATCTTCGTTGGTTCGCTGCACATCTTCGGACACTCTGTTCGATCCAGCCTGGCTGTGTCTTAGGCTTTCTGCTGAAGGACGTGGTGCATCCTGATCTGGCTGTTCCATGACTATAGCTGCCGCTCTAGGTCGTTCTGGCTCGACGATAGCCTGGTTCAATGATGCTGGTATATCACTCCCCACATCCTGCCTCACGCTCTCGCCCACGTCACTGGAAGTTCGCGGCGCGATGTCTATTTGATCGGTATTTAAAGGAGGCGAATCTGCCACATTGGTAGCATCTGAGAGGGAAGTAGACACATCTCCCCCTCGTGAAGCTGGTCTCGACGATTGTTCCTGCGTAGGGACTGGACTTTCCGTACGACTGACATTCTTCTTTGCCATCGCCCGAGCGAGGCGTTCCTGAAGTCGATCATTCGAGGCAGAGGCAGTGCTGCTACTTCTAGACAAGTCGGAAGAGGCTACGAATACATCAGCCGTTGTAAGGAGATCCTGCGAGGAGTCCTTACGCTTCTTGTTATGAGCGGGAGTGTGCGTTCGTTTGGGACGGTCGGCGTCTTCGGCGAGAATATCATCCAGCCTCGACTCGACAGAGGCGACAGCCTGCTGCAGGAAATTCCATCTCGAGCCCGATTTGGAGGTCATATTCCACAATCGAACATCAGGGGAACGACTGTAGTGACTAGGGCGACTATAATGCAAGGTCTAAAAGCACTCGCAATACAGAAGTAGTCCAAGGAGATAACATGGCAGCAGGGCAGGAAATGTGGTCTATTAACACCACTGTTGAATGCCGAACAGCGTTGACGCGTTGCGATGTGGACAACATTTGTCGGACTGCGAGCCAACGGGGAAAGAAATAGGCGAGCGCAGTCCCGCGGCGCGGCATGTCATGCCCCAGGCAAGCCAGGGTCCCGCTAGCAGCCTGACAGAAGGAGCTTCCCGCAACCTGGAATCTGAGCTTCAACATGGGATTGACGCAATAGCTTGCGATAATCTTATCCCCAACATTACACTCGAGATTGAACAGTCTACATACGAGGATTCATGGATCTTTTTGGCTGACTGAGAACTCACACACCATCTCCTAGCAGAGACACAACTACGCTTTTGCCCATCGGCAAGATGTCATTGAGCCCTCCAACCTTTCTCAGCAATGTACAGAGCAATATCAGAGCTCGCCCAGTAGGCGCCACAACCCCTACTCTGGATGTCAACCACTAACGATCTAACAGATACCTTGGGATGGCGCCGTTCGGGCGGGAAACCTAACGGAAGACCAGCTCAAGAGGATCAGATCGGTTGACAAGGTCCGGAAAGAGCAGAGGAAACAGACAATAGAGAAGGATGTAAAGAGCTACAGCACCCTGCTTGTCGGCGGTACAGATGGTAGCAGTGTGCTCGAAAAAGCATCAAAGCGCAGCGACATCATTCAATACACCCTGGTGTTGGCAACCGACCTCATCAACGGTACAATATCCGAGTCCATTCCAGAATGCATGGCACATCTGACTGACATATACTAGACGCCCCGGATCTTGCGATTGCTATCCTAGAGCATCCTGAACCCTACAAAACCTTTCTGTCCTTCCTCAGCCAGGGAAACAGCCCAGAGGACGCCATTCCCTTACTCTCCGCCACCTTTCTCGTCAATCTTATTTCCATTTCCCTTACGACATCCTCACGCCCGGCCAGTCGAGATGACGAAGCGCTCCCACAGCTCTACTCATATCTCGCCAAGTTGGTTAAGAATCAGGACAGTGGACTACAGGATATCGGGGTTCAGCACATGTCACAAATCCTACGAACCAAACGTTCCAAAGAATTATTCTGGAGCCAGAGACAGGATACGGTCGATCCGTTATTCGATATCTTGAGAAAAGCGGTTGGCGCTGCAAAAGACAATGACTCTACGCTGTGGAGTGGCAATGCTAGTATACGAAGCAGTGACACGAGATTTGGTGAGGGAGTAGGCCTGCAATTGATGTATCATGTGTTACTGGTAATATGGCAGCTCAGCTTCGAGGGCGAACTCGTGGGCGAGGGTCTTGAAAAGTGAGGATATGCGATTTCCATCGAGTGGTCGAGGCTGTGCTCGGGCTAACGTTTACCCAGGGACGAGGAGATTGTGCCGCTGTACACACAGCTTCTGCGGATGTCACCCAAGGAGAAGACCACTCGACTCCTGTTGGCAACACTGAACAACCTCCTTGCGACCAATAAGGAGACGCTGATTGCGACTGCTACAACTGCTAGGCTTCCTGCCCTGCTGAGCAATCTCAGCAGCCGCCATCTGACTGACCCGGACTTATTGGAGGATTTGGAGGCTCTGAAAACGATGCTTGACGAATACACCAAGAATCAGACAACATTCGACGAATACGCTGACGAGGTAAATTCTGGTCATCTTCGGTGGTCACCGCCTCATCGTAATCCGACGTTCTGGCGCGAGAACGCGCGCAGGATCCTGGAAGACAAGAATGGCGAACTCCCCAAGAAACTGGCTGAAATCCTGTCCAGAAGTTGGGAGGCAGATAAGCAGGTTTTGGCGGTCGGGTGCAATGACGTGGGCAATCTGGTAAAGCATGTGCCGGAACAACGGACTACGCTCGAGAAACTCGGCCTCAAGGCTCGGCTTCTGGAGTTGATGGGCGATCCCGACGAGGCCGTGAGATGGGAGAGTCTCAAGGCCGTCGGGGATTGGATGAGATACACGTTCGACAAATGAGTGGCTGGGCTGTGACACGTAATACTTCTGCTGGTCGAGGCTATGAAACGAGTTGGTCGCGATGGGACATTGTCTCAGTTCCTCTAGAATTGTGGTTTGTGGCGGCAAAGACGCTTTTTTTTTTTTGGCTGCTGTATAGGAAAGTTAGGAAGAACGTTCCACAGACCTGTTCCTCGTCGTGACCCCTTAATTATATTCCGAACTCCGCGCTCCATCATGCTGGCAGTGTACTTTCCACCTTATGTATGCTTAAGTAGAGATCATCCACGCGTGGAAGATATTGACCGCGTCGCACAT